TATTATATACTTATATAAGCGGTTTTAGTTTTTGAGTCTTACGTAGTGATGTGGTTTCCTAGGAAGACCAATGTTCTGCTGAATACCACATCCCACTTGCTCTTTGAGAGGAATTTTGCTTGCAACAAGCATCCAATTAATTTTTTTGCATTTGCGACTGACCCCATTTTATACCACGAAGCGTAGTATATAGAAAAGACCCTAAACCGCAAGAAACTCAACCACTTTTCTCATGACCATAGTGGGTTACAGATTGCCACTCCAGCGATGTTTCCAACCCTTATTGTGACAAATCGATATCAGTATTCAGCCACCTTATTCCCGTGGCAAGTTCTAATGAAATATTCTCTGCCAAGAGTAATGGTGCCTGCTGCTGGATAGTGACTGGGCCATTCATTCAGATATTCCAGTACTGCAATGTCCCCAAGAGCCTCTGGTAAAAAGAAAGAAACAGGGTGGAGAGTTCTCAAGGGATCTAGGGGAATTGCAATTTGTGTAGCATCATAGTTGGGGCAGACTGGCATCTTTTAATAAAAGCCTAACTTCAGTGCTGGAAAAATGAGGAGGCTGTGTTTGTTGCTTGCTGAATGTCAACAGGAAATCAAGTTTTGTTGCCATGATGAGCCTATTAGGTTCTGAACTATTGCTATGCTGAATCTATGTTTAGAGAGGGAATTTAATGACATTAAAAATAAGGGTGTAAAAGCTGGTTATGAGGTGGTGGACAGTCAAATGATAGTTGGATTCTGATCAAATAATCCAGTGTCCATGAAAATAACATCTAAAGGATAGTGGTCACAGGTGTGATAGTGCAAATAATATTAAAAACAATGAACTTGGTAGGATTTCTCTCCTATCATTTTGGTTAAAAAAACCACCAAAATCAATCAGAAAACCAGAAATTCTATTTTTGGTGCACTTTTCTTAGGAAGGCATATATTTACTGTAGTATGTATATATGTATTGTTTTTTTATTTGGCTTGTGGTTGGATGTTTCTGGACAGACACCTTAGGCTTCTGTTTGTTGTACAAAGCAGTGGGCATGGGGGAAGCAGATGGGAATCATAGCCATTGGCTCTCTGGGTGTGGGTTGAACACCATCCGTCTGGGACGTGCCATTCTAGGCTGTCTGAACTGCCAGATCCAGATTCCTTGCGCATAAATACTTGTCTGGAGTCACGGCTGTTACAAAGACATGGTAGATACTATAGTCTTTGATCAGCAGGTTCCAGCAAAGATGATGGAAAACTCCATTGTGGGTTTTGCCTGTGTCGAGGGGCAAAAGATGACTCCTGTTATAATGCTACTGTGATATGGTACAAAAATTTGAAGCAAAGTACCAACTCTATCTGCAGTAATTTCATATTCCCTGTGAGTTGCTTCTTCAAGAAATTAAATAAGTGAATTCAGTAAAAATTATTAGATAAGCAATGTATCCACCCACAGATGGGAAATTTTTCAGTGTTTTGACTGTTGAATCAGGTGCTAAGTGCACATGCAATTTCAGACTCTTTGGCTTCCGTCGTGTACTAGTTGAGGATCAAACCTTCCATTGCAGCTGCTTGACATTAAGCAAAATGTGCTTTCTTTTTCCCTGTCCATTCCTTACAAATGGGGAAATCATTATTATAACCACAAAGAGCACTGAATTATTAAATGTGATGGTGAAGTACTCTTGACCTTCTTTCCTTTCTGTTTAGCTGCATTCCATAGTGATGCTTTTGGCTACTCATTCAATCAGTCATGTTGCTGTTAGACATCAGAGAATGATGAGGAAGAGAGAAATCATCATGAAGAAATCGCTATATAAAAACCAGCCGTAGGATTTGAAGAATAAATGGTGTGAAACATACTTTGAGACATGCTTACACTTCTGTGCCCAATCTGCTGAAGCCTTCTCAATGCAACAGACCCATTGTTTTTAAGCACAAACAAACCAATACTATTTGTCCTTTCTTGTTCCATTGTTGGGCTCAGAAATCTGGACTTGAAGGTCCCTGAGCCTTACCACCCCTCTGTTTTCCTTTAGGACTTTGCTTATTTGTATTAATGACCGCAGTGTTCATTTATTGAATGAAATATGGCTTTTTCCTTCGTTTGCAGACTTTCTGGGAAAGTGTAAGGATAACTTGTCATGAGAAAGTGACAAATTAATTGCTTGTGGGTATAAGACTACCAAAATTGGGAGATCTAGATATTAAACGATCTGAAAATTCCTTTTACTCCTTAAACTGGCATAGAAAGAAACATGTAGCAATCGAGGTCAGGTTGGACTGGGCTCCGAGCAACCTGGTCCATTGAAGATATCTCTGCTCTTTGCAGGGGGGGTGGACTAGATGACCTTTAAAGGTCCCTTCCAACCCAAACCATTCTATGATACAAAGAGATGTAAATCTGAATAAACGTCTTACTCATTTCCAAAGAGCGTGAATCTGGGAGTTCTTCCTTACATGTTCATGAGCTGAAGGGAGACTGTGAAGGTAGGAGTTAGCATGAGTGAAAATTGTGATCAGTTGGTCACTGCTGCTGAGCTAAAGAACTGATATTTCCTTTTAGACACACTGGTAGTCACTTTTACTCTCCCTAGAAATGTCACAGACACACGCCAGCCAAACTGCTGTGTTTACAGTGTAAGTGATTTTGAAAGCTTACTGCTCGGTGCCTTTGCCTTTGGACGGAATTCAGCTCTTTCCTTTTTATTTGACACTTCAAATGTTTGTATCTTGAACTTTCTCATGAATTTTTATTAGGGAAAATTCTTTTGGGAGAGGAATTGAAAGATAAAAATAGGGACTCAAGCGGCCTGCAGACTAAAAGATTAGAAGAAGTGGGAGAGCCTTTGGGAGAGATGGGAACTCTGCTGCAGGGTGAGCCTCAGAAAGTTAGAAAAATCGACAAAATTGTGAGAAGAGACCCCCTGCATGGTTTCCACCGCTCTTTGACTTCATTATGTCCGAAGTTGACTGTTGAAGGCTTGAGGTTCCCTTGCTGCTCTTTGTTGTCAGATTTGAAGAGAGATACTAAAGCTGGTAGAGGTAGAGCAGCGTGTTGGTAATGATGGACTCGTTAGAGGGGAGGCACCTGTACAGATGGCAGCAGGAGCAGCCCGTGGAGTTCTCGGCTGATGGATGCCCACATCATGCCTTCAAGAAAACTTACTCAGCTTTGCAACTTTATAAAAATACAGCCTAGGGATGGAGCTCTCCTTATGTAATAAAGTAGTTGTTATTAAAAAACATGGATTCCCAAAGTGACTGAAAAACAGGTGTCTGAAGTTTATGCATTAAGAGAGCAGAGGAAAGTGTTTTATGTAAGATTTAACTAACTTACTGGAATTAGACATTTAATTCAACTTATGATTTCTTTTGTAAAACTGTCACAACAACCTGAGTGAATAGTAGTGATCAAAATAGTTTTCAATTTTACAAATCCCAACACAGTACTGATTTGTGTTGTCTTGGTTACCTGGTGGGTTTTTTTTCTGCCTACCACTCCCCCCTCATGCCCCCAAAAAAAAGAAAAGACAGGGGGAGGGGGCTGGATCACAGGGAAAGCATTGATCGAAGGGTAGAGGCTGGTTTTGACCTTGGCTGTGCTTGGAGAAAAGAGTTGCAGACTGTAGGAGGAAGGGGGTGGTCTTTGGGAAGCTGCAGCTCACGCAGAGACAGTGCTGAGAGATCAGAGAGCAGAAGGCAAAGGTGTGATGGACAGAGTTTTCTAAGGGCCAGAGGCCACTGTGAACAGTTTGCTGTAGTTCGTAAAGTGCTGAATTGTCTGAAGCTCAGCTAGAACTCAATACTCCAGAAAATGCAGCAGGAAATGGAAGGGTTGTGTATAAACCACTGCTGCTGTACTTTCTCACATTGTAGCGTGTTTTTTCCTCTTAGGAAAAAACAAACAAAACAAAACAAACTCCACAACCCAATACACCCAACATAAAAACCCCAAGCAAACAAAAAACCCCAAGCAAACAAACTATTTGTTGCCTATTTTTATTTTAATTTAAAAGCTTTTGGTTGTGAGTTCTTCAGCTGGGGATAGACTCTGCAAGTTCACTGGTAAGTTCTGTTTGATTAAAAGCCTGGACTGAGAAGCAACTGAGTGTAGTTGCAACTTGAAATGTTTTGAGTTAAGCCAGAACTTGTTTAAGATTTGTGATTTAGGCAGCCATCAGGTTAGGATGGTAACCACTTGCTTAGGTTTAAAACCAGTCTCTAGGAATACAGAATGAATATGGTCTGTCTGCTGTCACTGTAATAGGTGGAGTAACCTGACAGATGTGAATAAATGGTTTGATGTGTTATCACTGATTGCTGGTAAACATATAATGCAAAACCTAGAATCTGGCAGTTCATGTTCATTTTGCCTAAAGATGAAGGGAATGGAAATGACAACTGAATTTTGAAAGTCTCTGCAATCGGTCTCTTTCTTTTTTAGGAGATCTTTAAGATAGAAGGCAACCTTGGAATTCCAAGACAAAAAAGGGCTATTTTGGCAACTCCGATACTAATTCCTGAAAATCAAAGACCACCATTCCCCAGATCTGTTGGCAAGGTAAGTCAACCAAGAACTGTATCAAATTTTGCTATTTCTCTTAGAAATTTGTAATGCCTACCATCTTGGTAGTAATATCCCAGGCAAAATTAAGAAGGTTGTTTCATTGTCTGTATTGCATAGATGAAAACGGCTTTGTGTTCATGGCAGTCTTCAGCAGCATACATTCTGGATAAAAGCATTAATCAGAGATGTATGTTTTTGTGCAGCTGCTGTCTTCAGTGGAGGTTGCTGCCCTCCTGCATATCTGCTATTGGACTGGGGCACAACTCTAGCCCTGGAACATTACGAAGCTTTGCAGATTTGCAAAAATGCATTTAGTTGCCTAGTTATGTGAGGCATAAGAAACACATTTGTTTCCTCTTCCACAATATTTTTGGGCCTTATCTGCAGAAGCTTCCACAGGGCACTACACAGACTGATGAAATGCAGCTGCTGATGTGTATGAATTTCTCTTGAACTATAACTGCTGTCACTGTGAAGGGACGTTGCAGATGTATTTAATAGCTGTGGTTTCTGTAGTGTTTTGGGGAAGAGAGAAAATGTATGGTATGGAGAATGGATAACTTGCATGTTATAATAGAATTTTTAAAATGAGAAGGAAGAAGAAAGGAAAGCAGGTTCTGGATCAGATTGTTGTCACGTAACAACCAGCAGTCAGGGCTGAGGACGCGTGTAGGTTTGTGATGGGAGCAGCAGAGGTTGTCTCTGGTGGGTTGGCCCTGGCTGAAGCCAGTGCCCACCAAAGCCGCTCTATGCACTCACCCTCTCAGCTGGGCGGGGGAGAGGAAAATACAACAAAAAGCTTATGGATCGAAATAAAGATAAGGCAAGATCATCCACCAGCTGCTACCATGGGCAAAACAGGCTCAACTTGGAGAAAATTAATTGCCTGCAATTTCTCTTCTCTCTGGGTTTTTTTTTTTCCTTCTTAAACAAGTGATCCCAGAGATGTTATAACTGTCGCTGATGGGCTCAGCCTTGGCCAGCAGTGGGTCCATCTTGGAGCTGGCTGCATTGGCTCTACCATACACAGGGGAGGCATCAGCAGCTTCTCACAGAAGCCACCCCTGTAGCCCCCCCACTACCGAAACCTGGCCGTGCAAACCCAGTACAGTCTCATAGCCCAGGGGCTCTCAAGGTCTCACCCTGTCTGCCCAGCACTGAGCAGTGTCCTGAGCCCCTCTGTAGTGGGTATTCCCGGTCAAATCTCTGAGACAGCACAGTGGGACAGTTTGTTTTATTCATATGCAGCAATAAACATAGCAATAAAATCATTTAGGAACAAGGAATTCCAATAAAATTATGTGTGTGTGGAATAATCACACTTGGGTGAAAAAGAATTCTAACTTTTTGTTTTGCTTTCATCTTTGTCGCGGCAATGTTAGATATTCCGCTCTTCAGGAGCGTGGAGCTTTCCTGGCAGAATGAAATACAGGACAGTGATAATTTGAGATATGCCTAGTTCTGTTTGATACCATCATGTTGTCCAGTTTGGAAGTCCACATACAAGTTAAGTTTCCAGTTGCGCCCTGAGTATGTTATTTTCCTCTTCTTTCATCTGTTTTAGCAAATTAGCAGTGTAGTTTGTTTATCTCTCCTGACTGCCGGTTGTGTTCCAACCCCTTGCTATCTTCCCCTGGAAATGCACAAGGTTGTTTGGAAGTGATTGCAGCAGCCAGCAACAGTTGAGCTGCTTATTAGCACTTGTTTGGGAGCAGGGCAGATGTACAAAAATAGGAGAGCAGAGAGAGAACAATTAATTACATTTTATTTCACAATTGGGAAACAATAGCATAAACAAATACAGGGATTTTAGAGGGCTTCATTCATTAAGGCTTGGTAATGTAAGTCAGGAAGGAGATATTGCACGGGACAAGTAAAAAGGCTGTTTTGTTTTAATTAATAACAAATATTCAAATTAGTATTTATCTTAACAAGGAAATACATGTGTAGAGACTGTTCTGTGGGTTGTTACTGGCTTTTCAACATACCCACTTAGGAATGAGATTATTGCCTTGCCATTTGCACACCCTTCATTAGGGTATCTCCTAATTAAATAACCTTCATAGACGTGCTGTGCTTGTAGGTAATCTCCCCTTTTAGTGGAATTTAAGATTTGCATATTATCCTTCTTTCCTGAGGGGAAAATAGTAAGATTAAAGTATTTTAATACAGTCCTGGTAACACGGACCTTTGTGACCAGACAGCCCAGGTTACCACTGTTGGCTGTTACTGATGTGTTTCGTTTAGTTCTTGCTGGTATAGCACAGGGATATGATATTCAATTTTAGTCTCTCTCCATATGTTACTTTTCTGATTTATTTTCCCACATCCAGTCAAATGAAGTACAAAACAGTGGGATGCAGGATTATCTTGTAATTGTGGTGATAGGTTATTTGCCTCTAAGCTAAGTTTTCTAAGTCTAACTTAAGAGTGGTGGTTCTCTGCATCTATTAGATGACAGTCTCCAGTCACCCTTTGACTGTGGTGATGAACTGCATGATGGTACTTCTTGAAGTTTAATCCTTACACTACTGCAGAGCTCAAAGTGCAGGAAGATAATTGTGGAGATGCTCCACAAGTTCCAACTGTTCTTCCAGACATTGAGAAAGAAGAATATATACAAAATGAGTGTTTTAATATAGTCTGAAAGGATTTGCTGTGGATTTTATTGATGGACATATGATCATTGCATGATTCTATTCTTAAATCTAAAGGAATAGTCCTTCATAGCAATGAGTGTTTTAGTTGCTGACATATAAGATCTGGAAGCTGTGAATAGCCTGGTAAAAATTGGCAGGATTTTTTTTATGCTCAGTGAAGGGCAGAAGACAGAGATATACAGGAGGCTTTGGAGGGAACTGCTGCATGAAGAAAAAGCAAAACCTTATTTTTGGCCAGTAAGAGAATATGTTTCTTTATTACTTGGCTGTTTTGTCCTTTTGGAAGGAAGAGTGTGTTTGTTCCGATATTTTGCATCAGATAGTGTCTATATACTTCCTGTCTTGATCTGGGCTGATGAACAGTTATCTGCCAAATAACAATTAGATGGCAGGACTGACCTGAACAAAAGCTCAAGAGAAAACGTAGTGCAGACTAGCAAACAGGATAGAAATCTTTAAGATCTATGAGGTGGTGTTGGGGGTGGTTTTTTCTCCTTTGAGCTGTGAATGTAAGGCAAAGAAAAAACACAGTTTGTTAATGCAGCAATAGAAACAACTTGAAGAGGGGAAGAAACTGAAGATAACTGGATGGAAAAACTGCTGGAAGCTTATTATTTTTGAGTGGCTATCTGATTGAGGCTATTTATATATGATAAATTATATGCTTCACAGAAGAGAAGTGTTAAGTGCTGAAAATGCAGCTGAAAAGAATGTCTAACTTCAGGCAAAAGTTTGGAAAGAAGGTGATAGAAGTGTAAATAGAGACAATCATGGTCTACTGACCTTTGAAGAGAACCTAGAGAGAAAGATTGTATGTTAGAGGAGGACATGTGAAAGACAGAAGAACAGTGAAATAAAAGCTGAATTAAGAAGCGTATTTGTTTTGCTGGAAAATTAGTCAGAGAATGAGGGGTCGGGAAAGAGATTCTCAAGAGAAATGGGGGAGGGAAAGGACCTAGGCAGGATGGTTGTCGAAATCTGGAAGATAATGGTGTGCAATGACAGAGAACAGAATGTGCAGAACAGAGTCTCAGAGAATGGTTTGTGTTTGAAGGGACCTTAAAGCCCACCCAGTCCCACCCCCTGCCATGGGCAGGGACACCTTCCACCAGACCAGGTTGCTCCAAGCCTCATCCAGCCTGGCCTTGGACACTCCCAGGGAAGGGGCATCCACAGCTTCTCTGGGCAACCTGTTCCACTGCCTCCCCAACCTCTTTGGGAAGTATTTCTTTCTGATATCTAATCTAAATCTTCCCTCTTCCAATTTAAACCCATTCTCCCTTGTCCTGTCACTACATGCCCTTGTAAAAATTCCCTCCCAACTTTCTTGTTGCCTTTCCAGGCACTGGAAGGTGCTCTAAGGTCTCCTCGTAGCCTTTGCTTCTCCAGGCTGAACACCCCAATTCTCTCAGCCTGTCCCCATTCCAGCCGTCTGATCATCTTCGTGGCCTCCTCTGGGCTTGCTCTACCAGCTCTGTGTCCTTATGCTGAGGGCTCCAGAGCTGGCTGCAGTACTCTGGCTGGGGTCTCACTAGAGCAGAGCAGAGAGGAGGAATCCCTTCCCTTGGCCACGCTTCTCCTGATACAGCCCAGGATATGGTTGGCTTTCTGGGCTGCCAGCACACACGGCTGGCTCACTGCCAGCTTTTCATCAACCAACAATCCCAAGAGTAGAAGATACAAGGAATTTTGTTTTCCTGCACCAAGGTCCGATGGCGTATAAGGAGAGTATGCAGAAGTGAGTCTATCATTCTATGTGGTAAAAGACCACACCCACAGATGGGGATACATAAACAAGCAGCAAACATTCAGTAGTACAAAAATGTACAAAAAGGAGGGGAAGGTGATATTGATAAATAGCATTTAGTCAATAAAGACAGTCTTAATAAGCAAAGATCTTTCTAATCCAGAAAGAAACAAAATTAGGATTAGAAAAGAATAAAGTTATGGTACTAATACAGTAAAATTGGGCAGATATATATGTCTGAGCTCAATTTGTTGAGCCTAGCGCAGCATTTTCTGTCAATCCAGAGTAGTGTAATGATTTAAGCAGAAGGAAAATGCTGGGATAATAACTAGCGGGTATGAATTTTGGTGGAAGATAGAAGAAAAGTTTGTAGTCCCTGGAGAAGAGGAATTAATTTCCAACAATAGTAGTGAGGAGAGAATACAAAGTTTGATATATATATATAATCACAACTGCATCATATAGCTGCTTCTGATCATGAAAGAACAGACACCTAGAGGTTTTGTGATATTCTGCTGTTCTTGAAAATGTGTAATGTCCTGCTGAGTTGGACCTGAACGGACTGTTGGAGATGTCAGAGTTTAACA